TGTCTCCACCACGTGCACAGCCAGCTCACAGCACCAGCACCAGCACCAGTACCGGCACCCAGCACCAGCAACCTGTCTCGAAAGCGCGCACGGGCAACTCATTGTTAGTTGAAGTAAGAACCCCATAGCTTCGCTATCTGGGGAAAAAGGAACGGCCCACTTTCCAAACACAGGGAACACACGGTCGGTATCAAGCATTTTTTGTGGTCCAACATATATAGAGTATGTGTATATATATATAGTTTTGGGATGTTTCAGAGGAGAGGGAGTGTGTTTTTAAGCCTTTGCCGATCACAGAAACAAGAGTGATTTTTGGAGACCATGTTGGCCGTTCCTTTCCCATCAAATCTCTTGGCCAAACCCTCAGCATAGCTTCGGCTTTGGTCCACCCTGTATGCTTCGAGCCCAAAATAGTCTCTTTTCTTTGGAACGTGAAGAAACAACCAAGGCATCAGTGACTACCCGGTGTCTACCTTGAGTCGCCAGGTCCCGCCGGTTTGTTGGGATCCTCCACATACGGGATGGATTTGGCTCGAGCCAGGGGGTACCGAAAAAACCTCTGGGTTTTTCCCGCGGAACCTTGGATGACGCGAGGAAACCTAAGCTTTGGCTGGGCTTCAGTGGTGTTCTATTTTTTCCGTGACGAATTAGAGGCAGTCCGTCAGCCTCTGAAGATTCTGAAGATTTCTGGTGCCATCTGTAGACGTCCGGTCACTGGCTAGGTAACCAAAGCTCTCCAAGGCACCAGCCCAGCGCACTCACAATTCCCCACCAGCTGAAGATGTAGACCGGTGACAAAGCTAGCCACCTGACCGCAGAAATTCTGGAACAAGAAGTTCAAAAGAATTTAAAAAAGGCAAAAAGCCGAAAATCAGAAAAGGAGAGTCAGAGGTATTTCAATTTCAACATGAGTCATGTCCTGGATGCTCCTTCCGTCCATTCGTCTCCCGGTGTTCGATCCAGTCAGCGGGACCGGTGCTGAAAGGTGAAGACCACCAAGCAGGTTGTTTCATTCTCTTTGGTTGGAGGCCATCTTAGGTTGAAGGCCCTTGCTATTAGGGTGGAGGCCAATACTCTTAGGTTGGAGGCCATCGCTGTTGGGTTAGAGGCCATTGCTATTAGGGTGGAGGCCAATACTCTTAGGTTGGAGGCCATCGCTGTTGGGTTAGAGGCCATCGCTCATAGGTTGGAGGCCATCTTAGGTTGAAGGCCATCGCTATTAGGGTGGAGGCCAATACTCTTAGGTTGGAGGCCATCGCTGTTGGGTTAGAGTCCATCGCTATTAGGTTGGAGGCCATCTTAGGTTGGAGGCCATCGCTGTTAGGGTGGAGGCCAATACTCTTAGGTTGGAGGCCATCGCTGTTGGGTTAGAGGCCATCGCTATTAGGTTGGAGGCCATCGCTCTTAGGTTAGAGCCCATCGCTCTTAGGTTGGAATCCACCATTGCTCTCAGGGTGAAGGCCCATCGCTCGTAGGGTGGAGGCCATCGCTCTTCGGTTGGAGGCCATCGCTCTTAGGTTGGAGGCCACCGCTAGTAGGTAGGAGGCCATCGCTACTAGGTAGGAGGCCGTCGCTCTTTCTTGCATTGGGAGTCTTTGAAGGCACACTCACAATCTTCCAGCAGTTGGTGAGTTGGTCCATGTTTGTCGCCCCAGCCAAGTCACCACCGTGCCACTACAAAGAGCCATCCAGTCACAAAGACCCAAAAGGACCTGCAAGTTGCGATCTGTTTTCTCTGCGCCGGCCGTGTGTCTTGCCGAAAGTCCAGGCAGCTCCAGACATTGGGTGTGTGACTTGAAAAGATGTGAACACGGCGTCCACTGCGAGATATGCATGACACCGCGACGCCACTTCTACCCTCGGGGGAGTTTGCATCCATCAGGTGCGTCCGAGTCTTCCATCATCTTCCATCTCAAGGTGGAGCGGCAATCATCAAACGATAGACAAAAAGAGCGAGGGAAGATCTGTTGAACATGCTTCGATGACAGCTGACGATTCACTGCTTGACCTGAACATACTAGAACTCTTCAGGTAGTCTCGAGACTAGCCACTAGCACGGCCACCTCGTGATCCGTATTGATGGCCGAGGTGCTTGTAGAATTGGAAGATGACCGGATGAGGCTCCACTTTCAGCACACTTGGAGCCTGGAGGCGAACACACGGAGGTCGTACCGGTACGCCCTGAGACCTTCGACTTCGGATGGAGGAGACAGACGAGAAAGCGCCCAATAACGAATGCCTTGATGGGCACGGGGTAAGCGCCCATGAAGAAGCCACCCAATAACGAAAAAAGCAACGCCAGGGAGTCCGCATGCTGCACCATGCCTAGGCCAACATCAGTCATCAGTCAGCTCAAGACATCTGGCATCTGGGTGTGTGATAACACTCGTTTAAAAAACTCGTTTTCGCATGGGCAACACTCGTTTTGAGGCTGACCCTTTTCCGTGTCAATACCTCAAAGCAAAAGTTTTTTCGGACAGCCCTTCCTTCCCAGTGCGGTCTTGAGTCAAACAATAGAACACCATTGATTGATGCCAAGTGGCTACTAGCAACCTCAGCATAAAGAGTTTCTCAGCACAAAGAAACTCCAAATACTTCATCCAGTCCAACCGTTTTCGAACCAACTGCATGCTTGATGAAAACAATTAATCTCAAAGCAATAACCACAGACTTTTCCCTTGAAGTGATTCACCAAAGTCTGGAATCTTGCCATCGTTTGTGGCCATCCAACCTGCCATCATCAATCACTTGACGGACATCTCTTTGTTTGTCCTCCATCATCAAAGAAAATCAGTCGCCAGCGCCCAAGTGGACGCTGGAAGAATCATTGGAAGAATCATGGCATGGTTTTTGGGAAGACAACTTTTCCCTACTAACAGGAGGTTTTCACTCCAGTACTCGTTGTTGGGAGGGAGGTTATGCAAAAATGCTATTAGGTTGAAGGCCATCTCTAGCAGGTTGGATGCCATCTCTAGTAGGTTGGAGGCCATCTCTAGTAGGTTGGAGACCATCTCTAGTAGGTTGGAGGCCATCTCTAGTAGGGTCGAGTAGGTTGGAGGCCATCTCTAGTAGGTTAGAGGCCATCTCTAGTAGGTTGGAGGCCACCTCTAGTAGGTTGGAGGCCATCACTAGTAGGTTGGAGGCCATCATTATAGTAGGTTGAAGGCCATCGCTAGTAGGTTGGAGGCCATCACTAGTAGGTTGGAGGCCATCTCTAGCAAAGGCCATCTCTAGTAGGGTCGAGGCCATCTCTAGTAGGGTCGAGGCCATCTCTAGTAGGTTGCAGGCCATCTCTAGTAGGTTTCTAGTAGGTTGGAGGTCATCTCTAGTAGGGTCGAGGCCATCTCTAGTAGGGTGGAGGCCATCTCTAGTAGGGTCGAGGCCATCTCTAGTAGGTTAGAGACCATCTCTAGTAGATTGGAGGCCATCTCTAGTAGGGTCGAGGCATCTCTAGTAGGGTGGAGGCCATCTCTAGTAGGGTCGAGGCCATCTCTAGTAGGGTCGAGGCCATCTCTAGTAGGGTGGAGGCCATCTCTAGTAGGTTGGAGACCATCTCTAGTAGGTTGGAGGCCATCTCTAGTAGGGTCGAGGCATCTCTAGTAGGGTGGAGGCCATCTCTAGTAGGGTCGAGGCCATCTCTAGTAGGTTGGAGGCCATCTCTAGTAGGTTGGAGGCCATCTCTAGTAGGTTGGAGACCATCTGTTGGAGGCCATCTCTAGTAGGGTGGAGGCCATCTCTAGTAGGTTAGAGACCATCTCTGGTAGGTTGGAGGCCATCTCTAGTAGGGTCGAGGCCATCTCAGTAGGGTCGAGGCCATCTCTAGTAGGTTAGAGACCATCTCTAGTAGGTTGGAGGCCTAGGGTCGAGGCCATCTCTAGTAGGGTCGAGGCCATCTCTAGTAGGTTAGAGACCATCTCTAGTAGGGTCGAGGCCATCTCTAGTAGGTTAGAGACCATCTCTAGTAGTTTGGAGGCCATCTCTAGTAGGGTCGAGGCCATCTCTAGTAGGGTCGAGGCCATCTCTAGTAGGTTAGAGACCATCTCTAGTAGGTTGGAGGCCATCTCTAGTAGGGTCGAGGCCATCTCTAGTAGGTTAGAGACCATCTCTAGTAGGTTGGAGGCCATCTCTAGTAGGTTGGAGACTATCTCTAGTAGGTTGGCCAATCGCTATGGGGGTGGGGGGTATAACAATGCCTCCAGTGAGTCCACCAGTCTACCAGTCCACCTTCCTTCCCTCACAAGGCCAGCTGAGTTCTCCGGCTTGCATTGCACCACCTCCACCCATGGCGGATAGGATTGGCCACGTGTTCAAGCGTGGCAGCGCAGGACACACAAGGAGCCACAGGAAATCTTGCTGGTGCCTAAAAGATATGCTGGTCCATGAACTGATGCCTTGACTCAAGATGCCCTAGATAGGCCGTGGACTGGTGACGGCACAACTACGGCATGAACAGTGCAAAACATGATCATCTGCAATCTATATAGTTGGACTTGTCTATTTCGGCGGGGCTGCAAAACAAAGGGCGGATTCATTTGGCAGTGGCTGAGCAACAAACGTGCGACTTTAGATGGGAAAGCATGATGAACACACCTTGATGGTGGAAGTTGAACAAAGAAACCTTTAATCCCCTTTGAGTGCAGCACATGCAGGTACATTGGCCGACAAAGCCTGCCACAAAGTTTAAATTGACCCCAAGATAAGACACAAACACGTTGACATCAAAACATAGCAAATAGAGGTCCAAGGCCTGAGAATTGGCGGCCGGATCATCAGAACAACTTCTTCACCATCAGGTTGCCGTACCCGGAACCGAGGTCAGTGGCCACGACGTGGTTGTTTATCATCCTCACCAAAACCTGTGGTTTGTATCAAGACAGGGAGAACCCCCAGTCATGTTCCAAATGCTTGCCTTTACCAAAAGGAGATTCTATGTAGATGAAAACTTCCCGCTTCGGGGTGTCTCCGGCTTCTTCTTCTCCACCACACCGGTCGAACTCTCGACCACTGAGGAGCCCCGACGTGGTGCCGGCTGTGCTTCCGGCGCATCGACCGCAAAGAGTTCAGCAGGCGAGTCCTCAACAACCCAACGACCCAACGGCTGGGCAAGGGAGCTCCTCAACAGAGACCTGCAGCGTAGACCGAAACGCATGAGACCCGGGTAGATGGTAGACCAATGAGACATGGTAGACTCCTGGTAGACATGATGTGTGTGTCTGGAGGTAGACCAAGCCCAAGCATTAATTGTTTTAGGAAACAACTGTCCAATGGTTCGGACCGGAAGCTTCGGATCTGAACAGTTCTCAAAAAAATCGCATGTGAAGCAGTTGTAAAAGAGAGTCCAATGGCTCCACCCGACGGCGACCGACCCCAAAACAGTTCTCAAATGGGACAGAACTCTGGGTGGGGGCAAGCACATTGGCGCACCAAGCGAGAAAAACATCAGAAATCCCAGGAGAAGAACATCGGGGTTCCACCCACTGCGCTCGAAACTCGCGGTGCTCTCCCGCCTCTCTGGGGCTCCGGTTGTCCGCCACTCGGTCGTTCTGTGCCGGGCTTCCGGGCGAGGCCTGCGAAGTCGGGATGTCGGATCAGGACATCGCCCACCAAAAAGCTGGGCCTCAGACTGGACGTGGTCAGATCGGGACGCGAGGCGAAGAAAGCAGTGGACATCTTCGGGGTTTGGAGAGAAAAATGAGGACATCCCAAAGCACGGGATTCATGGGATATTCTCTTGGAACCACCAAAGGCTGTTCTCTCCCTGGGTCTTCGCACAGGCCCTCCTGGCACGTCTGGATGACAACTGTCTGAAGGGGGCCAAAGTCATGGGAGTTGCTTGGCGTCATGAACCAAAGCGTTGAAAGATGAAAGACAAACCAATCACTCAAATCAACATCATCAACCAAGCAGGTTGAACCTGATTGGGGGTGCAAACCCCAACAAGTCGTGGCCCCCCCCCACCGAAGACTCGCCTGGGAAGACATCGTCTTCGCTCGGTCAATCTGGGCTTCTTTGCACCCAAACTGACCAACTTGCTTTAGTTTCTTCGGGTTTTTGGCAGAGAATAGGGCTTTTCCCAGCCTGCCTGGGGGTTGTGCAGTTTAGAACTTTGAGTTCTTTCTGTGCATCTGCCTACATACCTGATTTGATGCATTTGTATCATACTCTGAATCGTACGACATCTCAAAGTGTCTGGCACTGGAGGGGCACCGTCGTGTCGTGTAGCTGGCACCGCGGTGCAAAAGGCTCGCACCCCCTTGGGCCGGAACCAACGAGCCCCGCTGGCACCAACAACCAAAAACGTGGCCGGCCTACATCAAATGGTGCTCTTGGCTGTCTAAAGTGGTTGAGTCCGTGCTGACAGGTACTTGAAGAGTTGAAACTACAGAAAGCTGCCATCCACTCAAGCTTTTGCAAGGCTTCTGGTCTTCCTGTGAGCAGAGTGAAACAGTGAGATCGCTCTATCGAAGTCTGCATTCTCCAGTGTTGTCTTAAACAGCCAGAGATGTAAGCAGGACTTTGGAGATTCTGCTTTGCGGCCACGTTCGCTCATATGACTCATAAGGTCATTCTTTTGGAGCCTCTACTGGCAACTACAACAAAGAGTTGTATGTCTTAGCCGTTGAAACCAAGAAAACAAAAAAAAGTTCAAGACCCTTCTCAAAGGATTACTTGTTCAATCAAAGGGATTCACATGACGGCTTGGAGCTCACTGCCGTCAAGCGGTGATGTTCAGTAAGTTGATCCCTTGGCTAGCACAAAGTCACCACGAATAAGGCTCTTGTATTTTCAGGTGTCTCTTGAAGCTATGATATCATGACTTATCTTCTACAGTCCGGACGGCCCAGGATGGGATCCACGAACCCTGACTGTCAGGGAACTGACCATCCGAAGGCCGGTGCTTGAAACACTAGTAGCTTCATCTAAAGGCGGTGAGGACATCCACACCACATCCTCACCTCAGGCAGAGCACATGGGGCAAGGCCACGTGGCCGTGTATGCAGGCCATCTTTCTGGCCGTTTTGTGACAATAGATATGCCAGAAACCTGGAAAAATCTGGAAGTGACATCTATATATATATATGATATATGTGTTCCCTAGCGATGGCCTCCACCCTAATAGTAGCGATGTCCTTGTTACTAGTGTTCCGCTTGCCCAGGAGGGTGACTGACTGACAGGTCCGGGCAGGTCATTCACCGCTCGGCATTGAATTCCTGAGATGCCATCGACGAGATCATCGCCATGGTTCCAGAAACAAGCAGCACAAAGAAAAAGAAAAAGACGACCGGCATCGACCGGCATGGTCCTGTGCACATCGATCGAGGTATCACAAATCTAAATCTGGGTGGATTCTGAAACCATTAGCACTTGCTGGAGGACACTGCTTGATGATCCCTTGAAAGGAAACCTAAAGCTGAAGCAAGCAAAAATCCTCTGCCAAGAAACATCGACCTTCCAATGGGGACTTGAGAGAGGAAGGGGATGAACGAAAGGTATCGCAGCACTGTGGAGAGAAACCGCCTACATAGCTTAAAACCATTGATATTACATGAAAGGTTGTATGGGAGAAACGAACTTGTGTGTTTGGATCAGCCAAGTTTGTGCCCACTTTGAAGCCTACATAGCTTAAAACCATCGATATTTACAGGGTTTTGTGCCGGGAAGGCGCACAAAACCGTGTAAATACCGTGGTGTTTAACAATTTTGAAGCCTCCGAAAGCCGAAAAAAACCCTTTCCGACACAATCTTTCCTGGCTTTTGGTCATGTTTCGGCAATTTTTCAAACCGAGACACGTCAAAAACCGTCAGTTTTTACGAGGTTTTTTGCCGAACACCCACATAAAACCCTGTAAATTGCATGGTTTGAGGCCATGCTTGAAGACAGGAGGAGCTGAAAACACTGGTATTTACGGTGTTTTGTAGCCGTCGATCCAGAGGCGCACCACGGTTGTGTGCTGGGAAAGCGCAGAAAACCATGTAAATACCGTCGTTTTCTGCCGGGAAGGTGCACAAAACCGTGTAAATACCATAGTTTTGTGCAATTTTGAAGCCTCCAAAAGCCTCAAAAACCCTTTCCGACAAAATCTTTCCTGGTTTTTGGTCATTTTTCGGTCATTTTTCAAGCCGATACGCATCAAAAACCATCGGTTTTTACGGTGTTTTTTGCCGGCCACAAAAAACGCTGTAAATTGCATGGTTTTCGGCCACTGTTGAGGACTGGAAGAGCTGAAAACAGTTATGTTTACGGTGTTTTCGAGCCGTTGACCCCGAGGCGCGCCAACCTTTCGTGAAAAGAGTCACTTTCACAGTTCACTGACAGGATCATGATTGAAGATATGCATTCTCTGGCCTCCCACAAAACACCAAAGGATCACAGCTACTCATCCAGTTGCTCCCGGATTGCCCCGCTTGGCCCACACACACAAGGTCCACCACCCGTCGGAGTCACCCTGAGGTGAAGACTTGGACTTCAGCTCGGCATTGGTCTTCTCCAACTCCAAGACCAGCTGCTCCCTGGCCGAGTGCTCACAGCTCGACGTGGGTGCTGGAAGCTCCGGAACATCCGAAGTAGAGCTGAAGACTAGGTGACGAGATGATGATAGTCCATCAAGAAATCCGTTCCTACCACCGGCGATACATACTTTCCTAATTTCACATGCAGGTGCCTCCAACCAGCGCAAGAAGACATCAAACATGGCTGGGAGTGCAAACATTCTTTCTCAGAGGCCAACTTCCTTGGAAGTTAAACGCGTCAAACAGCTCTGAAACCTTGCGTCTTGTCAATCCTTCAGTTGCTGTAATTTCTTCGAAATGCCCAGCTTGTTGAGCAACTTCACAGAGCCGATATTCAGATCCGAGCTTATTCTGGTCGGCCATGAGCTTCAGCCTGCAGAATGACAAGCGAGTCCCCAATGAAGTTCAGTGCTGATTATGAATCTGATTGGGTTCAACGGTTCACATCATAAAGTCATTCGAAGTTCAACATCCACCTATCAAGGGAACAGAGTGCAAAAGTTAACTTCTCAGTGACTCAGTACGGTGCTCGGCTTTGGTATCCAGCAACATCTCCTGCATCTCCTTCAGTTCTGGAACAGTGTTGGACCTGCAGGAAGATCGCTGGCGCCCCGCGACCCGCGGAACTCCCGACGCAGGTCTGACCAAATTGCAGGTCTGTCGCCCTCATAGGTCTGTTGTGATTCCTCTATAATCAAAAAGCTTAACAACAAGGAAACAAAAAAGATAGCATATAATTGTCTAGTAGCGATGGCCTCCAACCATAGCAATGGCCTCCAGCCTAATAGCGATGGCCTCCTAGCGATGGGCTCCAACCGACTAGCGATGGCCTCCAACCTGAG